CCATCCCCAATGTTGGACACTTATAGTGGACTCTCTGCAAAGCCAAAATACCATAGTCCCCGCCCTCCAGTGGATCTCAGTCCAGTGTGACATTACATGTGTGTCCTGTGCCTGGATTCCTGAGGGTCAGCTCAGGGCCTGGCAAGAAGTGGGTGCTCAGAAACTTCCTGTCGAATCCCCCAGTTTGCGACAGGCTGGCTGATCTGACTTGGAGAGAATGTTAATCTTGATATATACACGGAAGTCAATGAATACTCTTTATTTCTCAGAGAAAGTTGCACTTAAGAACACCTGGGGGGACTTCCCAGGGGCCTAGGGGTTAAGACTCTACACTCCCAATACATGGGCTTTGGTTTGATCCCTCCCTTCTCAGGGAACTAGATGGGCTTCCCAGGTGGCACTCGTGGTAAAGAACCCGCCTACTAGTGCAGGAGACATAAAAGACAAGGGTTTGATCCCTCGGTCGGGAAGATGTCCTGGAGGAGGGCATGGGAACCCACTCCAGTATTCTTGTCTGGAGAATCCCATGGACAGAGGAGACTGGGGGGCTACAGACCACAGGGTCGCACAGAGACGGACGCGACTGAAGCCACTTAGCTGGCACACACACAGGGAACTAGATCCTGAATGCCACAACTAAGACCTCGTGCAGCCAAACAAATTAAAAAAAAAAAAGACCATATTTTAAAAAAAGAACCCTTGGTGACTTGGTGGTCAGAGGAGACATTTCAGGAAGGAGACAGCTGAATCCTGCAGAACCTTCGTGTCTCAGTCTTATCTCAGGATCTTGCTTGGAATGAGCTTCAAGGATAAAGAGTGGAGACATGTGGGGTGGGGTGACTCAGTGGGACCACCGAGTCAAGCTGCCCAGAAGGGAACCCCACCTCTGGCCCTTCTCCACAATGCCAAATCTGGTAAACATCTTCCATTTCCTGTGCTCTGGTTTCTCTACTTGTAAAATATTTTTAAAATATTTATTTGGCCGCACTGGGTCTTAGTTGCAGCACTCGAGATCTTTCATGGCTGTGCGGGGGGTCCAGTTACCTTATGGATTAGTGGGATCCTAGTCTCCCACTCAGGGATCAAACTAGTTCCCTCACTGCAAGGCAGACTCCCAACCACCAGACCAGCAGGGAAGTCCCTCTGCTTATGAAATGTTGATAAGAGGATTGTTTGTGAATAAAAGCAGTGAAGGCATAATGAAGGACCTATTTGCATGGCTCTCAACATACAACGAATACTCAGAAACTGGCACTGGTGACAGACACTGTCTGTCTCCTGCCTGGTTCCATCAAGAATCTTGGACTGGCCTTCCCTGCTGGCTCAGTGGTAAAGAATCCGCCTGCCAGTGTAAGAGACATAGGTTCGATCCCTGATCTGGGAAGATCCCACGTGGCTCAGAGCAGCTAAGGTCGTGTACCACGATTACTGAGCCTGCGCTCTAGAGCCTGTGCTCTGCAACGAGAGCAAGCCACCGCAATGAGGGGACCACGCGCTGCAAGAAGCGTAGCCCACTAGAGAAAGCCCGCGCAGCAACAAAGACCCAGCACAGCCAAATAAATAAATAAATGAAATTATATATAAGAAAGAGTCTTTGACTGTGTATGCATATGTTCCTTCTATTTTGGGATTTCCTTCTCATTCAGGTCACTGCAGAATCACTGGGTAGAGTTTCCTGTGTCATGGGGCTTCCCAGGTGGTGGGAGTGGCAAAGAATCCGCCTGCCGATGCAGGAGACTTAAGAGGTATGGGTTTGATCACTGGGTCAGGAAGATCCCCTGAAGGAGGAAATGGCAACCAATAAAATAATAAAACCAAGAATGATCTGCACACATCAGTGAATTCCATTTGGATGTGTGTGGCAGACTGTATTTTCCAAAGGTGGCCACAGTGATATTTTTTGTCCCACACTATCTTCCAGGGCCATGATGCATCTCTCCCATCAAGGGATGGAATCTGATCCTCCCCTTGATTACAGGCTGGACTTACTTCTGGCAAATAGAATATGGTGATGGTAGTGGAAAAATGCTCCCCAGCACCCAGGCTGAGCTACACACAGGCCAGGCCCCAGGTAGGGGGACAAGTGATGACCTCTTGAGCCGGAAGACCTCCCAAGGGTTATAAAAGGTGATACGGTTTTTGCCTAACTTGCCCTTGCACTGGGACACTCTCTCTTGAAACCCAGCTGCCATGCTGTGAGGAAGCCCAACGACCTCAGTGGGAGACAGCCCGTGAGTAGCCGCCCATGTGGAGCAGAGCTGAAGCCCCCAGCCCACAGCCAGCATCCAGCCCCAGACATGGGACTAAAGAGCCTTCAGGTCATTCGACCAATTGCCCCATGCTCAATCACTGACCCACAGCATCCAGGAGCCTGGGTAAGGGTTCTTTTACATGACTGAGTTTTAGGATATTTTGCTTCTCAGCTTTCAGAACTGGAACATCCCGTGCAGTTAACAGAAATAGATTTGGCTCCGGGCTTCCAAATGCCAAAACAAGGAGAGAACTGTAGTTCTTTGCAGTTTTATGCAGAGTTCATAGAAGACGAACAAATCGAGGTGTTTGCTAAAAACCAGGAGGGAGTTTTCCCCTGGGTTCTTATAAAGATGACGTAATGCTGTGTAATTTGTTTTGGTGACTTTGAGGATGTATTAAGGTTAATGAAGCCCAATAGCAAATATCACATTGGTTGGTTTAGTTGTCAAGTTGTGTCTTGCAACGCTTGCGACCCCATGGACTTTAGCCCACCAGGCTCCTCTGTCCATGGGATTCTTCGGGCAAAAGTACTGGAGTGGGTTGCCATTTCCTTCTCCAGGGGATCTTCCTGACCCAGGGATCAAACCCGGGTCTCCTGCATTGCAGGCAGATTATTTACCAAATGAGCTACAAGAGAATATTATAGGACTGTCTCTCTCAGATTCCCTGGATGAGCCACAGAACCTACAAATCACAATTTGACAAAATTAAATAGCAGAGAGGCTGAAATGATAAAATCTGTTTCCTAAGGTCTCTGTGGGTGTGGCTTAATTTTGAGGGATATATTGTAGAAATCAGTAAGTTGGGGTCAAGTCCTTTTTTTTTTTTTTTAGTTGGAGTATAGTGGCTTTACAATGTGTTAATTTCTGTGGTATAGCAAAGTGAATCAGCTCTATGTATACATATATCCTTTTATTTTTGGATTTCCTTCTCATTTAGGTCACCACAGAGCATTGGGTAGAGTCTCCTGTGTTATGGGGCTTCCCAGGTGGTGGTAGTGGCAAAGAATCTGCCTGCCAATGCAGGAGACATATGAGATGTGGGTTCGATCCCTGGGTCAGAAAGATCCCCTGAAGGAGGAAATGGCAACCCACTCCAGTACTCTTGCCTGGAGAATCCCATGGACAGAGGAGCCTGGCGGGCTACAGTTCATGACGTCACCAAGAGTAGGACACGACTGAGCACACACGTAATGCCCTGTGTTATACAGTCATTTCTCATTAGTTACCGATTTTAGACATGGTTCATGCATTCCTCTGTCCATAGAATTTTCCAGATACTGGAGCAGGCTGTCATCTCCTCCTCCAGGGAATCTTCCTAACCCATGGACTGAACCCGAGTCTCCTGCATCTCCTGCATTGGCAGGTGGATTCTTTACTACTGAACCACTTGGGGAGCCATTTCATACATAGTAGTGTATATAGGTCAATCCCAATCTCCTGATTCCTCCCCCAACCCACAGGGTCAAGTCTTTATCGCCAGCACACAGCAGAACCTGACACGAGGCAATGAAAGTATTTGTTGTGTGACTAGAGAACAAATCCTTCATGGTTCTGATTTCTCCTAACAGAGGAGCTGCAAGAAATACCCTGGTTAGCGAAGTAAGAAGTCAACTTTGGAATGGAGAGAAATCCAGGTTCAAATTCCCCCGACACCTCTGATTAGCTGTGTGACCCTCGAGGAGTTACTTAACCTCTCTGAGCCTGACTTCCTTATCTCTGAGATGGGGAGGATCTTAGGTAGGCCCCCACCTCCTAGAGTAGTAAGAGCCATGGCGAGTTGTCAGAGGATCCTGGGGCAGGGTGGCTGAGGTCCCTTTGAACAGCTGCACAAGGCCTTTCTCTTTTGCTCACTCTCTCTTTCCTGGGTTTCACACTCTCCCCCAGCCACTTGAGAAAGACAAGTTTCAGTTTCAAGTGGTTCCCCTGGGAACGGGCCCCAGGTAGAGAGCCAGGGCGGGACCATCTCCCTAGCACTCAGGGCTGAGCTAAAAACAGGCCTGGCCCGGGGTGGGGGGTGGGGTGGGGTGACCTCTCCCCCACCTTGCAAACTGTGTGGTACTCTTTGGGGAAGTTGGGCCCCCAGGGTGCCTCGCTCACTTGCTCCCCTCCCCCAGCATCGCCCAGTTAGGACTCCTCTCAAGGAGCGAGCTGTAAGTACTTTAGACAACAGGCTGATAGTGTCAAAGAGATGGATGGGGCCGGCCGCTTATCTTGCTCAAAGAGACACGACTGGCTGGGTCTGTTGCATCTCCCCCTCCTCTTCCTTCCCAGCCTGTGAATTTAATTTTTGCTCACACGCGCATGCGTGCACACACATACACACACACACGCAAGCATACACGCACGCAGACTCTGGGAAGCTTCTTTGTTCCTTAGGACCGCTCACCATGTCTTCTCCCCCTTGTCCACTCTTTTCATCACCTAGAAAACTCAGAGAGCCACCAGGACACAGACCATGATCTTCAGAAGCCTGAGCTGACACGCTGGAAATTTGAGCTGGGGGGAGGAATGAGTGGACTGTCTTCCCCTCCCCTCGGCAGAATGACCTTAAAAGAGAAAAGGAAAAAAGAAAGGAAGGAAGGAAGGGAGAGAAAGAAATGGAAAGAAAGAAAGACAGAGGAGGAAGGAGGAAAGAAGGAAGGAAGAGACAGAGAAAGAGAGAAAAAGAAAGGCAAGAGGGGTGGGAAGGAGAAAGAGAGAAAGAGAGAAAGAAAGGAAGGAAGGAAGAAAAGAAAAGCAAAGAAATCAGTTCTTTCTCACTTTTATTTGATGGTCTCCAGACCTCTGGGCTCATATGCTAGATTTTGGAATTGTCTTTCAGACATGATAGGATTCCTGGGCTTCAGCAGAAGGCACTGTGAAGTGAGAGATGCTCAGGGTTCAAGCCCAAATTCTAAGCCCAGACTCGAAGAGACAAGGGGACAGAATCTTGGCTGGCAGAATATTCCTGGAAAATAAGAAATGATGAATTAGTGCAGGAATTTTAGAGCCACGTGGACTCTAAGAAGTGTACATGTCCTATAAAATCCAGCCATGTCCCTTCTGGGCCCCCACCCCAGAGAAGTTGTTCTCAGCCAGGGGCGATCTGGCTCCCTGAGGGATATTTAGCAATGTCTGTAGACATGTTTGATTGGTGTGATGTGTGTGGCGGGGGTGCCCTCGGCGTATAGTGGGTGGGACCTAAGGATGCAGCTCAACATCCTACAGTGCCTACGACAGGCGCCCTTGCTCCCCAGCCAAGAACTGCCCACCCCCAAATGTCAACCATGTGGTGAAACCCTGCCTTAGAGAAATACCAGCACCAATGCAAAAGGGGGAATGTACAAAGTGCCCAGCCGGCTTAAAAAATAAAAATCAGCAACTACTTGGAAATAGCTTAAATATGCATGAATAGGGGACTAGACAAATGAATCAGTCTTAACTCTGACTACAAGTTAAAATCGCTGGTGTTGTAATATTCTGATATGTAGATCCTGTCTTTAGACCTCTCATTCCATTTGTCCAGGGATGGGCCTGCGCATTCATATTAGAATGGACCCCCCCCCCCCACCTGCCACCAACACACACACACACACCCCTTGGTATTTTAACATGCAGTTAGTGTTTAATAAACTGGGTTCTCTCTACATTTAGAAGTGCTATGTGACGGTGAAAAAAGAATGAGGTTGACATGTATGCACCTCTATGGCAAGATTCCCAGACACATCACTGAATGAAAAAAACAAAACAAAACAGTTGGAGAATCATAAGTTCAAGGTGGTGCCATTCAGAAAACAGAACAAAACAAATCAACCCATCCCACCAGAAAAGTCGACATATCAATAATACATACACAGGCAAACTAAGGGATTTCCTGGTGGCTCAGTCAGTAAAGAATTCACCTGCAGTGAAGGAGACCCAAGTTTGATTCCTGGGTTGGGAAGATCCCCTGGAGAAGGAAATGCAATCCACTCCAGTATTCTTGCCTGGAAAATCCCGTGGACAGAGGAGCCAGGCTACAGTCCTTGGGGTCGCGAGAGTCAGACACGACTTCGGGACTAAACCACCACCACCACCAGTGTGTGGGTATGTAAAGCATCACACGGGTTCTAGAAAGATACAGACATCATGAAATGCAACCCCAGGATTGCTCCTGGGACATGCCGAATGGACTAAGATGAGGGTAGGGTCCACGTGAACTGACCTACCAGGTTAATTTTTTTAAAGAAGGAGAGCGTATTCATGATTGTAGGAGTAAAACTTCATTACAATAAGAAATAAGAGGAGAAACTTGGGTTTAAGGTCACTTAAAACCATCAAAATCCAGTGAGATTTGATATTTCTATGGCCTGAGCTTATTTATGCATTTATATCTGGAGGCAGCAGCTTCTCCCTGGCTCTCTTTCCTATACTCCCAGCTTTGCGGCTGTCCAGAGCCTCCTGAGAATGGACAGCAGATTGGAGCAGAGGCTGACAGCCACTCATTTTATTAATAAGTGTCATGTCCAGAGAGCTGAAATTGCCAGATTTCTCTCTTTCTCTCTCTCTCTTCCTAGAAGGCTCCTGTCAGTGATCAAAGCTGTTCTGCATCTCTGGGTAAAGTGGGGAGGTAAGAGGGGGCTGGGGAGGCTGTCCCATCACAAGGAGATAAAGATCCCCTCCTGGAATTGAGAAGGGAGACAGGAAAGACTTGAACCGTCAGCCAGAGGCAGTGGGGATAACTTGCACACTTACTATGTGCTCGGTCCAGTGCCAAGTGATGAAGATAAAGAAATGAAAAGGCAAATAATTATCTCGCCTTTAGGGAGATGAGGGCTTCTTGGTGGCTCAGACAGTTAAGAATCCACCTGTAGGGCAAGAGACCTGGGTTCCATCCCTGGGTTGGGAAGATCCCCTGGAGAAGGGCATGGCAACCCACTCCAGTATTCTTGCCTGGAGAATTCCCTGGACAGAGGAGACTGGCAGGCTCACTTCACTTCACTTAGGAAGATGAAGCAGCATTCATTTCTCTCCTTAACAAGTATTTGTTGTGTACTTACTATGTACCAGCCTTTGCTAGGTACTGGGGATTCACGTTTCCAGAAACGCTAATAACAACACTTATACAATACTTAATACATAATATGCCAGATGCCATGCTCAACTTCTAATATACATTAACTCATTTAGTCTTTAAGATAAACTTATGAAGCAGAGTTTATTTTTATCCTTATAAATGTGAAGAGATGGAAGCACAGAGAGGTTAAGGAACTTGTTCAAGGTCACACAGCTGATAAGTGGAATAGCTGAGATTTAAACCCATGTAGTTTAGCTCTTCACTCCATTATGCTTTTGGAATACTTCTTTAAGTAATGTGGATACCATATCTGCCTTCTTGGAGCTAAAAGACAAGTATGTGTGTGCTGGGAAGTGGAAAAGTTAGACAGACTCAGATTAACCACATGGGGAAGAGGTTGATTTATGTCACGGTGTGGGGACTGGAGCAAAGGCTGCACTGAGGAAGTATTTGTTCAATCTGAAAGCTAAGTAGGAGTTGTCGATGTTGTTTAGTTGCTCAGTCAAGTCCAACTCTTGCCACCCCATGGACTATAGACAACCAGACTCCTCTGTCCATGGGATTCTCCAGGCAAGAATACTGGAGTGTGTTGCCATTTCCTTCTCCAGAAGTAAGAGTTAGCTAATAAAAGTGGGGGAAATGATTCTCTAGGCAGAGGGAACAACAGCGTGTGCAAAGGTCCTGAGGTGGGACTGAACTTAATTCATGGAACAGGAAGAAAAATTCAGTGTGGCTGGAGTAAGGGGGCCTGCAGGCAAGAGAGGTGGAGAATTTCAGGGAATTATCAGGGGCCAGGTCACAGGCGGCCTTGGAGATGGCAGTAACAAATTTGGTCTTTACTCTTTAGAATGTGGAGTAACATGGCTGGGTTTCCAGCCAGGGAGGTTTGTGACAAGTTTGCTCTGGTTGTAGTGAGGAGGGGCGTGGGCCATTTCAGTACAGTAAATGCAAAGGTGGTTACAGAAGGAGGGTACCCTTCACCCATCCTTTCTCCTCCTGCTCCTTCCCTTCCAACAGCCACCCCTGACTCCCCCTGCCAACCGACCCCACACCCCACCATTCTCCAACGGCTGCCAGAATATCCATACACATTCAGCCACTCAGGTGTTCTGTTTTTTCCCGTTTTCTGATATGTGCCCACATGTGGCCTCAAATTGTTTCATGCCTGGCTGCCTTGTCTCTCTGAGTAGATTGGGGTATGGATGACCGGATACCCACCTTTGAGGCCTCTCAAGCAGACACTGTCAGTTCCTTGCTTTTTTTTCTTACCCTGATCAAGGCAGCAAAATGCCCATGGCAATCCCATTTTTTTTTTTTTTTTTTTTGCTCAAGTACTAGTTTCCCCAGCTTCCTTTGCAGCAAGAAGTGGCCACGTGATTCAGTCCTGGCCAAAGGATCAAGGAGGGATCCTGTTGGGGGTGATTCCAGGAAAAATTTTCCTTCTCTTTAAAACACCTTGTGGTTGACCCATTCTTCTCTGATTGGGACACTGGAGTGAAGGGTGATATTTTGTGCACTGGCAGCTATCACGTGACCATGAGACAAAAGGGATGAGACTGAAAGCCAGCACATCAAATATGGTGAAGAGAAAGAACTGAAATAATTTGATAAAGTTACTGAGCAGCTGCAACAGCTCTGGAAACTTTTAGTTTCAGATTTCCTGTTATGTGACATCCTAGTATACAATATATGTTAATATCATTATGGTTTATTTGTCTGTTGCATGCATACATGCTCAGTCGCTTCCGTTGTGTCTGACTCTTTGCAACTCTATGGACTGTGGCCCGTCAGGCTCCTCTACCCATGGGATTTTCCAGGAAAGAATACCAGAATGGGTTGCCATGCCTTCCCTCCAGGGGATCTTCCTGACCCAGGGATTGAACCCATATCTCCTGTGTCTCCTGCGTTGCGGGCAGATTCTTTACCCACTGAGCCACCTGGGAAGCTCTATTTGTCTGTTATTTGCAGCTAAACATGGTGAATGACAGAGCATGACAGGAAAGGTAAGAGCCTCAGAGATAATCTCATTCAATTCTCATCGTGGACAGAGCAGAAAACAATGCTCAGAGGTGGGGAGGGGGTGGTGCAGGTCACAAAGAAAACTGCTTAGCAGAGCTGAAGGCCAAAACTTCTGCCTCACTGGTCTAAATGGAAACCTAAGAAATCCCAGCCTGGCACTCTTGTTTGTTCACATTCCTTCCATGAGACGGTCTCAGTGGATAATAAGAACATTCAGAAAATGTACATTCTCACTCCATTTCCCATGTACAGAGACGTCAGGTACATCAGCAAAGAAGTCAGAAATGTCTCAAGTTTCTTGTTGCCATTGACATTGGAAAAATAAAGTCTTTAAAACAACCACGCGTGTTAGCTTAAGCCAATGGCCCGGGATTTGAGAGACGTTAGACCTGGGTGTAAAGACATCAGGCAGTAAGGAAGGAAGTTGTCAGTCATCCACCTAGGTATACATTCATCCATGCATCCAATGAGGTTCCACAAGGTCAATGAGGAGTCTGTGAATGAAGGTCATCCATCGGAGGAATCCCCCGTCTCCTGGGAACACACCTGCCTTAGTATCTCTATTGTGCTAAGTCCTTGGTGAAGCAGCCCAAGGACAAGGGGACTTTGGTGCACACCTGGTGATGGGTTTCAAAGCACAGCAGCGAGAACCCTTGGCGTTTTATTCTCTTTGTAGTTGGGACTCTGTGAGGTATATTCTCATGGCTATCACACCATCAATTTAATTCAATTCTCTAATCCACCCTATGAAGTGGCAACCTAAACTGATTTACTTAGAACACATTGGAAAGGAAAAGGAAAGGGAAGTCACTCAGTCGGGCCCGACTCTTTGTGACCCCATGGACAGTAGCCTGCACCAAGCTCCTCCATCCATGGGATTTTCTAGGCAAGAATACTGGAGTGGGTTGCCGTTTCCTTCTCCAGGGAATCTTCCCGACCCAGGGACCGAACCCAGGTCTCCCGCATTGTAGACAGACACTTTACCGTCTGAGCCACCAGGAAAGTCCTGGAATGCATTAGGCGGTCCTAAAGAAAACTTGTACTGTTTCATAGCAGTCTCAAGTCAGGTAGGCACCAGGGCTGATTAACTTGGTGATGTCAATCCAAGCAAGGATCTAGCTTCTTCCATTGTCTTGCTCTGCTGTCCTGAGTTTTTGTTTTTGTTTTTTAATTTTGGCTACACTCCGTGGCATGTGAGATCTTAGTTCCCCAACCAGGGATTGAACCCATACACCCTGCATTGGCAGATGGAGTCTTAACCACTAGACTGCCAGAGGAGTTCCTGTCCTAAGCCTTCTGATCAGCTCTTTGCATGGCTGCCAGCTGACTGCAAGATTTACAGTTTCTACAATGACTTAACAATGTCCAGGGTAAGCAGAAGAGGGTCTATCTTTCTCAAGTCTATTTCCTAGAAGCCCTGGCCCACACCTCAAACCTCATTGGTCAGAATTGGCTCAAGGATCTCTTCCTAAAAGCAAGAAGAATGGGGTTTTCATAATAGGCTTAGTCTAACCAGGATGTAGCCCACAGGCTGAGGTCTGCCTCCCCTTCTGATGCAGGGGATGCATTGGAAGTGTAGGATCCCTTGGAGGGAGATCAGGTCAACAAAATCAGGGCTTGTCAATAAAGTAGAAAAGGAAACATGTGGGTATTGAATAGATGTCACAAGTAGGATTCTCAGAAGTGGACCTGAGATGAGGTTTAGTGTGCAAGAGTTTTATGAGGGAGAGCTCTTGGGATTGACAGTTGAGGAAAGGAAGGGGAGGAAGCAAGATGGGCAGAAAGGGGAGTTGTGCTGTGATGCTATCTTAATGAAGGTTTTAGCTGACCCCTCAGGGAACCTTGTATTCATACAAACTTAGCAGCTTAAGATAACACACATTTAGTATCTCACCATTTCTGTGGATCAGGAGTCCACATACAACTTCACTTGTCCTGTGATTCAAGGTCTCTTACCTGATTGCAATCAAGATGCCAGACAGGGTTAGGTCTCATCTCAGGGCTCAACTGGGGAAGGATCTCTTTCTAAGGTCTCATGGCTGCTGGCAGAATTCGGTTTCTTCCAGGTCGTAGGACTGAGGGCTTCAGTTTCTTGTTGGCTGTTGGCAGGAGGATACTTTTGGTTCTTGGCTGTGTGAACCCCACCACCTCCACCCCTGCCACCATGGCCACTTGCTTCATTCAAGCCAGCAAGGGAGTAAGTCTGCTAGTGAGACAGACATTGCGATCTTATGTAATGTAATTGCACAAGTGACATTATGTCACCTTTGCTATGTTCTATTGTTAGAAGCAAGTTATAGGTTCTACCCATGCTCACGGAGAGAGGGTTATACAAGAAAGTGAGGATCCAGGGGTCAGAAATGATGAGAAAACCAACTTATAATTTGTCCACCACAAACTCTGAAGCTGAGATGGCTCTTCAGAGTTGTCCTGAGTTGGGTCAAGGGGGTCAGGTCTTTCTGTTTCTCCATGAATTTGCCATTTGATGTGGGCTGTCCCAGGAAGGGGTTGTGACCTTGGATGAGATAACTTTCTGCTGATGAAGCAATTTTTTAAAAATATGGACCATTTTCACAGTCTTTATTGAATTTGTTACAATATTGCTTCTGTTGTTTATGTTTTGATTTTTTTGGCTGCAAGGCATGAGTCCCCCAACCAGGAATCGAACCCACATCCTCCTCATTGGAAGACAAAGTCTTAACCACTGGCCCACCAGGGAAGTCCCATGACAAGGTAATTTCTGACAGCTGAGGGCTATCAGCTTGCAATCTCTCCAGTAGAGAGTCTTGAAGAGGGGGGCATAGACACAGCAACCGCAATAGCACACAGCCAACAAGATGTGCTACAAACATCCCTATTTACAAATGAGGAGGTGCAAACTAAGCCTTGACTAGATCCACACATTAGTATGTAACTAAATCACATTCTAACTCAGTTTAGGAAGTCCATATACTGAAGCAGTTTTATAGTTTATTCCTTGATGGAATTTAAAGTCTTATTGTGGAACAAACGGATAGTCTGATTTGCAATTTGCTGGGTGTAATCCCAGTAATTCATGTTCTTTACCACCAGCTGTACTGCTAGTCACAGCATCGGTGGCATTTACAAGTAAAGATGAGTTAGGGAAGGTGGTACGTAAGTGGGTTGTACTCATATTTTGAAAGCTAATAGACCTTTCTAAATCTAATTCTATTAGTCAGGGTAGGCTAAGTAATGCTGCAGTAACAAACCCTCCAAACTCAGTGGCTTAATACTCTCACTTTCATCAGAGTCTAATATGAGCTGGGCATCTTTGGTTATTCTCCTCTGAGTGGTGATTCAGGGATCCAGGCTCTTTTTTTTTTTTTTATCGTTTACTTATTTATTTGGCTGTGCTGGGTCTTAGTTGCCACCCACAGGCTTCTCATTGCGATTCAAGGGCTTCTCTCTAGTGGTGACGGATGGGCTTCATTGCCCCCAGGCTTGTGGGATCTTAGTTCCCAGACCAGGGCTCAAACCGGCATCCTCTGCATTGGAAGGCGGATTCTTAACCACTGGACCACCAGGGAAGCCCTCCTTCCATCTTAAATATATACTCTCTGGGGTGATCACAGGAACAGCAGAAGATTATAGAAGCACAGGAAGTGTCATGGCTGACCCTGGCAGCCGAACCTCCCTCCCATTGGCTGGGACTAGTCACATGTCTTCAACCTAACAAGGGATCCTGGGAAATAAAAGACTGAAATGGCATCTTCTGAACACACAGCATTATCTCTGCCACACCCATCTGTGTGTTCCCAAAGGAAGCAGACCTCTCTCAAACTAGCTAATATTGACAATTGTGTTTGGAAGGCCCATCCCTTTATCCTGCAAGCTCTGAACTTTAGATTCCCCATGTAGAATATTTGCTGGTGGAAAAAAAGATATCAAATGGCCCATATTTACCAAGCCTTTGGGCATTGATAAAGACCTCTGTCTCAGGCCTTCTGAGTCGATTTGACCCTCTCCCGTGTTTCTTGAGGCTCTCTGCAGTGTCTGTGGATCCTGAGAGCCTCAGGTCTGAACCAAGAGCCCCTGGGAAGGAAGGAAAGCGATCTGGCTTTAAACTATTCCCAGACGAAGGGGCTCTTAGCGCCTAAGCCTCGAGGGGAGAGACACTCGCCTTGAGAGACTGTCTGAGCCCACACCTGGAAGAGATTGATTGAGAGACAGTTAATACGGCTGCGTGATTTATGAGGAGGGGATATTGCAGCCAAGGTGCGCGGGCAGGGGGTGGGCAGGGTGAGCACAGGCGATGTTCGGTGCTTACTGCTGGCTCAGGAAACACTTGATAACGTTCCACGGTGAAGCTCGCGGTGGAGGGGAGGGGGGGGCAGACCGTCGCTGTGGGGAGAGCCGGCTCCCAAGCATAGTGCGGAGCGGGCTGTGGGATGCAGAGCGCTTCTCCCAGGGCTGCTGGTTTTGGTGGGATCCAGGGCTCAGCCTGGCTGCCTCACATTCATCATGTGGATGAATGGTCCCGAGTGAAATATCACATCTGTCAGGAGCCCTCCGCACTTGCGGGCGTCCATCGCTTCAGTTCATGTCCATCCAGTGTCTACCCGGTGCCAAGTGCTTAATTCACACACGTGTCTGAAGCCAGGCATCTCTGGGAGAGTGCGTGTTCTGCCCTTGCTGAGCACCTGCTGCCCTCCGAACCTCGTTCTCTTTTTCTGAATTAATAAGAATATTCTCTTCCAGGAGCTTAGTTGATCCTTGTGCCCTTTCGGGCAAATCGGTGACTTCTTGTGAATTTCCTGGTGATTGTCTATACCTCAAGTACCCATCTGGAGAGGAGTAGGTTTTCTTTGCTTGTCTCACTTGCAAGAATATAAGCATAATACTAGTTTAATGCTTAAGGTCAAGGGTCTTAGACATAAGTAGAGCCCTGGCTCCATTCGAGCTATATAAACTTGAGAAAGTTACTTGACCTCTCTGAGAGAGTCTAGGCTCACTTACCTATGAAATAAGTAATAACTACCTCTTAATATCATATGGAATTATGATGCTGATCTAGGTAAGGTGCTCATCTCCGGAGCTGGTACACAGCATGAACTCAGCAAATGAGACATAAAATAATGATTATTGATAACATTAACATCAAGTGTGGCTACGGTGGCTCAGAGGGAATGTATCCACCTGTAAAGCAGGAGACCTGGGTTCGATCCCCGGGTCGGGAAGATCCCCCTGGAAAGGAAATGGCAACCCACTCTAGGATTCTTGCCTGGGAAATCCCATGGACAGAGGAGCCTGGTGACTTAGTCACAACTTAGTGACTAAACAACAACAACAACAAAGGGCACACATAAGAAAATGTTTACAAACACGTCTTTACCATTGAAAGAGATAAGCTCTTGCATCTCCACAAGAGATATACGGCTTCCTCTAACAGACTTTGCACGACTTGGCCAAGCTCCTATCAGCCAGTGGGAGAAGTGAGCCTGGATAAATCCATATTTAATTCCTATTGTCTAGAGGATACTGATACTGATAAGTCACTTCAGTTGTGTCTGACTCTGTGTGACCCCATAGATGGCAGCCCACCAGGCTCCCCTGTCCCTGGGATTCTCCAGGCAAGAACACTGGAGTGGGTTGCCATTTCCTTCTCCAATGCATGAAAGTGAAAAGTGAAAGTCAAGTCACTCAGTCGTGTCCGACCCTCAGCAACCCCATGGACCGCAGCCTTCCCGGCTCCTCTGTCCATGGGACTTTCCAGGCCAGAGTACTGGAGTGGGGTGCCATTGCCTTCTCCAAAGCTGCATTGTATATATCTTTATAGATCAGTAGAGGAGAGGATTAAATAAACAAATGGATGAAACTATAATCTGATAAGGGCTTTTCATGGAGTCAGTACAATGGGGACTGGAGGTGGCTCTGGAAAGAATGATTAGTGAATCACTTTCTGGAATGATCCAGGAAAAAATTCCAGAGGGTTGTGACTAGAGCTGAGCTTTAGAGAGCATGAATAGATAGTCAAATATCTTACTTGTTTATTCCAGGCTAGAAAGTCAGGGCCTCCAGGGCATGAGGAAATAGGATTTAAACCTAGAAAGTCTGTTGTGCCAGCCCTGCTCTCACCCCACGAGGTGCCCAGCCTTGTGATGGCATTAGGAACTGAAGCCAAAAGGATGACCATATATGCTCTACTATATATAAAAATGACTTCTCTGGTGGCTCAGCAGGAGTCCATGGGGTCTCAAAGAGTCGGACACGACTTAGTGACTAAACACCACCACCACCATATATAAAATGGATAGCCAACAAGAACCTACTGTATAGCACAGGGAACTACACTCAATACTTTGTAATAACTATAAAGGAAAAGAATCTGAAAAAAAATATGTATGTATGCTTCACTGAATCACGAGGGCTCCCCGGTGGCTCAGCAGTGAAGAATCCACTTGTCAGTGCAGGAGACCCGGGTTTGATCCCTGAGTTGGGAAGATCCCCTGGAGAAAGAAATGCCAACCCACTCCAACATTCTTGCCTGGGAAATCCGATGGACAGAGGTGTCTGGCGGGCTACAGTCCACGTGGTTGCAAGGGCTGGACACAACTTAGCGACTAAACCACCATCACCATCAACCAACTGAATCACTTTGCTGTCCACCTGAAACTAACAACACTGTAAATCTACTATACTTCTATATATATATTCACTAAAAAAAAAGTCAAGGGAAACAATGGCCCTTGTTCCCGAAAGCTCCGAGTCTGCAGGACTGACCGTCTCAGAGAGATAGAGAAAAGGGCCAGGGATGGGCTGTAAGGAAGCAAGGAAGGTTCTGGAAACTCAGAGGACAGCTGGTCTGTCCATTTTTCTTTGCCTTTACCAGCTTAATGGCAACAAGTGCTCATCTCCCATCTCTCATTTAGGCAGTTTTTCATTTGTTGAGTTCATTCATTCAACAAAGCTTGTTTACAAGCCAAGTGTTGTTCTAGATTCTGGAAACATGGAAGTCAATGAGACAGAAAAGACACCTGCCCTCTGGTGTCTTTTGCTCTATTGGACACTGGCAATAAGCCATCAAACAACTAAACAAAGAAGGTAATTTCTCATGGTGAAATGGAAATAAACTGGGTGATGTAATAGAGCACACTTGGGGGAGTCTCCTTTAGGTCAGGTGATCAGGGAAGGCTTCTCAGAGGAGGTGGCAACCGGGTTCATATTTGACGGTTGAGAACAAGGCAACCATGTGAAGGTCGTCTCCTTGTAGGAGAGAAAGACGAAGGAATCAGGCTTCTAGTTTCAAGCTGGGCACACTAAGGGCAGAAATTTTATTGACTTAGCCCAAGAGCACTTGGCAATTTGCTTCATTCACCTCCAACTCTCCGACTTGCAGAGCATTCCCATTAGCATCCCCATGTCTCTGATGAGGAAACTTGAGTTTCAGATAGGTTGTAAAAACCCTCATCAAGATTATGTAGTAGTAGTAAAAGCTGGAACCAGGATTTGAACCTAAGTCAGTGGGAATCAAAAGCATTGGATCTGCCTAATCTGGGCCCCAGGGAGCTCTTTCCAGCTGTGTATTTGAACCTCTGTCTGCAGGTTCTTCCAGAGGTCAGCCTGTAGCTGCTCAGTGGACCTTGGGGGACATGCCAGTCATGAAACCAAGGCTGGAGTCGGCCTGTGTCTGCCTTCCACTGGGCTCAAGAGAATTCACTCAGCAGTTACCCACCCTGGGGTCGTTCACAGAGGAACAGACAAACTGGGCCAGATGCCGAGGGGGCTACTGTAAGCTTTTCCTTGCCTCCAGATAATGAAGACAGCTGCTTTAAAACCAATTTGGCTTCTCTCTTTTTATAGAGGAATGAGCTTGCTCATAGCTCCAAGGGACTGGAAGGTCATGGAAAGGCGAAGATGTTGTATTATTATTTCTTGGGTGAGGCTGATGATAACACACAGTGAGCCTTGGTTACCGCCTGTTTGGGCTGCAGGCGCTGGTAGTTACTAGGGTAAGCTGATCTTATAATAAAAATAATAGAAGGAAAGGACAAACCCCATCCCACCCAATGGTGCTATTGATGTTCTATGGGTTTTCTTATTGGATCCTTGGTCACTATGGCAACAGTGCTGAGTGGTGGCTTGTTGGGGGTGATTAAGAGTTTGAGTCTCATTGACTTAGGTTAAAGTCCTGGCTCCAGCTCTTTGTTTGTTGTTCAGTCGCTAAGTTGTGTCCCACTCTTTGCGACCCCATGAACTGCAGCACGCTGGGGTCCCCTTTCCTTCACTATCTCCCAGAGTTTGCCTCAGATACATGTCCACTGAATAGGTGATGCTATCTAAACCATTTCATCCTCAGCTGTCCCCTTCTCATTTTGCCTTCAATCTTTCCCAGCATCAGCATCTTTCCCAATGAGTTGGTTGTTCTCATCAGGTGGCCAAAGTATCGGAGTTTCAACTTTAGTATCAGTCCTTCCAATGAATATTCAGGACTGATTTTCTTCAGGATTGATGGGTTTGATCTACTTGCAGTCCAAGGGACATCAGCTCTTACTACCACATAACTTTGATTAGGTTTATGTGACCTGTCTGAACCTGTTTCCTCATCTTAGAAATGGGGATGCTAATGATATCCTCCAAATCAGAGGGTGGTTGGATGTGAATGAAGCAAAATACTTAGCACAGTTCCCTGGAACACAGAAAATCCTCCGTAACTGAGAACTGTTACTCTTACTATAATTATTAATGGTTCTTAATTGTCTTATGATTAATGCTCAGAATTAGTAACAGTAGATCATGCCAGATTTTCAGATGGGGAAACTGAGGCACTGAGTGATAAGGTAACTTAGTTGAACTTTCCTATCTTCCATGTCAGTAATAGGCTTTACAGACCCAAAGAGTGAGGTTTTAAAAGTCTTCCCCATAAATAAATGGGAAAAAAAAAAAAAGCAATCTCTTGGCCCTGGAGACGACTTTCTAGTCGAGGATAAGCAAGTAAGATATTTACGACACAGTCTCAATAGAGGGGATATTGTTCTGGGCTGACTGAGGGGCCCATCTAGAATGCTTCCACTGTTTTTTTTTTTTTTTTTCTTGGGCTGTCTTTTTCATAAAGAGAGATCTTATTGCCTCACATAAGGGCCACTGGGATAATTCCAGGTGGTAGCTCTAAGAAAACCCCAGGAGAATATTCAAGCGAGGAAGGA